TCTTGCTCAGGCTGGTCTCGAACTCCTGACCTTGAGCGATCCACCCGCCTCGGCCTCCCAGAGTGCTAGGATTACAGGTGTGAGCCACCGCGCCCGGCCCTATCTTACTTTTAAAAGGAATCCTGCATCATAGCCAACAGCTAATAGTCCAACCTCATTGAGCTGTGTCCAATGTAGATCATCAAAAATGTAGAAAAAGTATGCAGCTAGGTGTTTTTTTGTTTTGGAGACAGGGTCTTGCTGTATTGTCCAGGCTGGTCTTGAACTCCTCCTGGGCTTAAGCAGTCCTCCTGCCTCAGCCTCCTGAGTAGCAGGGACTGCAGGTGCACATCACCACACCTGGCTTCTCAGCTGGTTTTATGGTAGAAAAACTTGCTTTCAGAAAGAAAGCAAAACAAGTTTAATCCAGTCAGAGACTGGGAAACCCCTACGTGCCGTCATTACCGTTAAAGCTCAGTTCCAATTTATTTCACTCTGAGCTCTGCTAGAATCTGATGTTGGAATTTTCTTGTTCTCAAAAGACCCTTGGCAATGCTTCTTGTTTCTTAGGGTTGACAACATTGTAATCTAAACATCAAACAAACAAAAACCAAAATACAAATTTTAAGAGACTTTTCTGGAGCTATAGAGACTTGAGTTTGGATACCTGTTCTGTTACTTACGACATGGCAGGCCTTAACCAAGTTTCTCCATGTTGTCGTGTCTCAAATTTCCTCATCTATAAAATGTGTATAAAAATACCTGTTTCATTATATGGTATTCAAGATTAGATAAAATTTTAAAATGGTACCCTCTGTTGTTATTGTTTTGGTCAGCCTTTTGAGACTATAGAGTATCCTTATAGGACTCTTTGTAGCTGGATTAAATCTACCTTTTCTTATATAATGTCTTTAGTATATTTAATAGTTAATAGCTTATGTAGATCCTGACTCAGAGTATAAGAAACCATGTCATCTCATTTACTTTTTTCAACAAATACTATCGTGATTTTGACATGGGTTCCAGATCAGACTACCTGGATTTTTTGGAGATATAATGCTTTTTCTTTTGTTTTTTTTTGAGACACAGTCTCACTCTATTGCCTGGGCTAGAGTGCCGTGG